CGTGTGCTCTTCCGATCTCCCCCCACCCCTCTCTCTTTTTCTCTCGCTCGCTCGCTCGCTCGCTCGCTGTGTCAGTCATTCAATCATTTACTCATTTGCTTATTCACTTACTCAAACATTTACTTTCTCACTTACTCATTTTCTCTCTTATTCGTATAATCATGCTTTCCTCTTAATATCCTCAAAATATTTGTCCTTTTCCTTGTGTTACCTTCTTTTCATTTCTTTTCATTATTTTGTTCTCTATGTTCTTTCGCAGACAGCCAAACCTGCAGAGATTTTGAGACAGAGTCTCTATAAATTTTCGATAACAGAAAGGCAAAAAATTTTATATGTAATCTGTATATATCTGACAATGTCGACAAACTGCTGCAAGAAATCTGACAAAAGCTATTGACATTTCTATGACATTTTAATCGAATCTGCTATCAGTCTGCCGACATTCTGTTAATATTTTGCTTACGGGATCTTGTCGTACACTTCATAGCTTCTTATACCAGAAGAGGTAATGTTCTCCTTCACTAATTTGCAAGTTATCAACACCTGCAAGTATGGAGAAATTACTAAAATTACTGACAGTTAATATATTTGCTGCTATATATTATCTAATTAAATCCTTTTCCTATAACTAAATATTTTTGCGTTGTACGTAAATATAAATAAAAAGTTAGATTTGTATGAAAATTGTATTTAAAAGGTTTTTTCCATATGTATATTCATCATTTATATATTTTTTATTTTTGTTATATTTATTTTTATAGTTTAGTATTGTATATATTATTTTGTTGTTAGTCATTATACAATCTTTATTCCGCGGTAATATGGATTTGGAAATTGCAATTACGTGTAAAAAATTTAAAGTAAAAGAATAACTGAGATTTGTACCTCCAGGTGCAACTAATTGATTTCCGGGCGGCGAGGATGATTCGGGCGGTGAGGGTAATCTGTAGAGTAACCAGTAGTGATAAGACATCGGTTCCTCTTTGTAGCCAGCTAGCGTGTGAACGTAATGACCATTAGGCCATTCGGACGCGGCAAATTGAAAATGGGGAGACATGCTCGCTGCTAACAGCATCACACTGTAGAAAGTTTCGTTTTTGGGTGCGGTCAATGTCAGATTGTATGTTTCATTTACATTGCTGCCGACCCATAGGGTATACGACACGTTTACGAGCACCGGCGCCGTGGTACCCATGGTGAGCGTGGTATCAATATTGCTCGTATTATTTGCCGATGTTTCTGATGGCAAAGAAATCTCGCTATGATTATCGGATGTTCCAATATCTGCAACTTTTAAGTTTAAAGGATCATTCTATGGCAGAAATTGCATTGACGTATTACGCAATTTAATAAAAATGACTTTTTTTTAAGAAAAGTCATTTTTATTGAATTTAAAAAAAAGAGTAATTATATTTAACACCCACTTTAATTCGAAGCATTATTTTAAAATTATTATAAATCTTTTGGCTACTATATGCACTATTATGATCGCTTTATATATATATATATATATATATATATATAAAATGCCACTATAGTGACTTCCTTCTAAAGGCTCTTTTGAGATGAGTTATCATTAGAGTAGCTCTTTTCTATACCTCATTGCTATCAAGCAGCAGAAATATCTTCAACTTTACTTTGATCTGTATTTGTTTCATCGAAACAACGATCGGATTTTTTAATAGAATTTTGTAACTGACAGTGAACTGTGTGTACAGTATAGTAGTACAGCTTTAATCGCGCTCAACTCAGCCATTAAATAGGCAAAGAGTTAAAATGTCTGTAACATTATTTTAAAAATATAATAATAAATTATTTACTGTTGCTCGTAGTTAAACGAGGTGGCGTATTGTCCAATAAACCCTGTCCGCAATCCAGAGCTCGGATGCTGGCTAGTCCACGCGGTGCGACACCTAACATCGCCTCGGCGGTGGCATGAACATTACCATGAAACGAACCATCTGGTCGTTGTTGACTGATCAGCCAAGCTAAAGCTGCTGATCTATTCCAGTTATTAGCCGGTTCATTTTCGACTTCTTCTAGAGCTTGCATCACCAAAACAGTATTGCGCAGATCACCAAAACTGCCATCGTGTCTTTGCTGTTGTGCCAACTCCATCGATGGTTTACGAACGATGTGATGAAGGTTGCGATGTCGATGATCCTGAACGATACACCGCAGCGCCAGGATTAACATTGCGATAGTATCTAAAAATATTATTTATTAATAAAGATCGCGCGATTGTAAGAATACAAGCATAGTGAAGAATGCAAAATGAGGATAAAATTCAAATATCGAATGTAACCATTTTTTATGTAAAATTCTTTGACGCTTTCAGTCATCTTGTCTTTTTTTTTACATTTATTATTTATTTTCAATTAAAAATGAAAATTTTTTTCTCCAACTTCCGGCCACTATATAGGTATAATCTGTTTTTATTTATTTTTATTTTATTTATTAGCTTATTCAATTTTTAACATTTTTAGATTCGATTCTTTAATTTTTTCGTGTGTAAGTCCTAGGTAGCAGGGTGACGTTGAAAGACGACATAATAACGTCTATTTTAATTTACTAAATGACAAGATAATAGACGTTTATTATTTTATCATCTCACTGCTACTTGAAGTTTGATAAAAGGTTTAAAAATGTAGCACTTTGCTATTCACTATCATTAACACATATTATAACAATTCCATTTTCGAAGAGATTATTTCGAGACAAAAATTCCCTGAGAATTTCAAGTTTCTCTGACGTAATTAGTAATAGCTAGACTCTGATTTATTTATTTTTCATTATTTTTGATAACATAACAATTTTTAAACAATAAAAAGGTATAACATTGCACTCACCGACGTTATGGTCCTGCGCGGCATTCGCGATATCCAAGAGACGACGCATCTGCCGTTTGCGCACGTGCGCTTGTGCACTGCATGCTGCGAGGGTAGTTAGCGCAAAATCGTAATCGGCTTGCGGTTCGTGATGTTGCAACGTACCGATTAGATCGTGACCATGGAATTGTCTCGGGTCCATGCACATTGCGTTCAAAGCCAAGGTATAGCGTGCTAGTTGTACCGGAGAAAATCCAACCTCCCGATGTCTGTAAACACAAGCAGCAGCAAACAATTCGTGTAAGAGCGTTTGATATTATAATGAATTTCTCCCTTCTGCCTATTCGGTCTGTCTCTGTTTCGTCTGCATCTACAGAAATTACACGTATGTGCATATCAACGTACGCTTGTGCAATGTTCATTTTCATAATTCCACTTGCATAATTTTAATAATATTGTGTTATAAGTATTGTAAAAATTCTTTAAAGAAAATTGCTGGGAATATTTGCGTACGTAAGTATGAATAAATATTGAAATTGAAATTCTGAAAAATGTCACCTTTTGTGTAACAGATCTCGAGATTCGGGATTAACTGCATTAATTTTATTGGCACTGTCGCATAATCAAGAGTTCACATCAAGAATATATGTAGAATTCTTAAGAGAAAAATTGAGGACTAGCAGTACTTCATATTTCTAGAATATTGCTATTCAAATCACATCTCAATATAACAAAAGAATTGAAAAAGATCTTTAAGAGGTAACAATTATGATCAAGAGAAAAGCGTTTTTTTTTTTAATTTTGCTATGTTAAGTGACATTATTAACGTAAATTTATTTAATTCAAAAGTGCAATAAAATAAAATCGAAAATGCAGAACTTTTTTTTTTTAAGAGCAAATGAAGGAGATATTTTTCTAAAAATGAATTGTGTTGAGTTATAGCAATTATCACAAGTTTTTACCTCCACAGCAAAAGCACAATTTCCAGTTCCATCTGCTTTGCAACGAGTTGCAATTCAAGCGGTGCCGGTGGCGCGATGTTGTCATCACGGGAAAGATTGGCCAGACGAAGAACTAAAAGTACTCGATGTGTGTCATTATCCCAACCAGCATCCTTATTCCGTTGACTCCACAACCACGTGGCCGCACGCTCGAGAATGATTTCTGCTTCAGCGTCGGCCGACGTCACCTCAGCATTGCTCGCTGACAAAGAAAATTTTCTTGTTATTTATAATCGATCCAACGATATTATATTTCATATTTCAACACGTTTTAATATATATGGAAGGCATATATACATATTATTAAAAACGTTCTTTTAAATTTCTATCGCGCGCCAATATTGCTTAAAATTGAGAAAAATTTTAATATTCTATTAATATTTTATAAAATAAAATATTTTTAAAAATTGAATAAAATATAAAAAAAAATTTTTGTGTTTCGTTAAGGGGGCGAGCGTTGTTTAATAAACTTTGTTTCTTGTTATTTCATTTGTTAATCTCGTACGTAAACGAAAACACGTACCTTCTGCACGAGTGAAAACGCAAAACCATCCTAGAAGAAAGATCACAGCAGCCATAGTTGCTCTGCCCCACATGGTATATTTGGACGAATCTCAAATTCCTTGATATATACTTATACTACTGAAAGTCAAACAATAATCATAATCGTAGAGAATATATTTTAAGAAGATAAGATATAAATTTTATCAACTTTGTATGTATTGTGCGTATTTTTTTCAATTCATCAAAAATATAATTTATGATTTTTCTAAAAGTTTATTCTATAATAATTTCTCACGTTTAATCGCATGTAAAAAATTATATATTTTTTGCATAAATCTGTGATTATTCGTCAGCAAAATAATTTGAATTCGTTAATATTTTGCTAACACCTTTTTTTCATTTTTCCTGAAACAATTAAAAGATATTGCCAATATCTGAAAAATCATTTTTGGTGCCGTTCAATCAGGTATGCATGTCACTCTCGTCCATGGAAAGTTTTGGTAGAAAGTTCTCACCAAGTTCCTATAAAATATTCAAATTATGAATATTCAATATCTTCTCACTCTTTCTTCTTTTCTAGTTTCGTTTTGTTAATCTCTTTGGATCACAGACACACTTATTTTTTAAAAGAATAAAAAATAAGGAGAGGGAAAGGAAAAATAAAATAGATGATGAAATTTTCATTTTTTGGGAAATATAAAAGAGATTTAAACGAAAAAAGTTAAGTTAAGTATTATCTATTTTGGTAATAGTTCGAAATAGAGCCTATTAATTAATTGTTCCTTTATATAGAAATGTAGACATATTTATAAATTGATATTATATTATTAAGTTCATTAACATAAATTTGAAATTTTAATGATTGATGAAGTTATATTAATATACGCTATATTAATATGTGACACTATATATTAAAATAAAATAGGTAACATAACATTTTTTGCCACTTTTGATTATTTAATATAGATCAAAGCTTATACTGAAAATTATTCCTCTATCATATAGTATTCTATTATATAAATATTTTGCTGATTCATCAGCTATATGATATATAGACGGCACAAAAGTCACGCGTACTATGATTCATTGGTGTCTACCCTTTTTGGGACACTTGACAGACATTGGTGAACGCGCGTGCAATCGATCGTGCCAAATCGAATCGACGAACATCGTCGCGTTGTCGACTCGATCGGGGTGAATCTACAAGCGACCTAGACTCGCTTGATGAAACGTTTTAATAAAGACCGACGTGCAGGTACATGGTCGTGCATATGCGTGAATACACATACACATACACACGTTTGCGTGTACGTATGAGCATGCACACACCATTGTATGGACACTCACGATAAATCGTGTCTCTCGACGGTGGTGGATACTACTGGAGCAAGTGGAACACGAGGGACGCCGGCGTCGGAACACTGAGCCAAGGCGCGCGGATATTGCGTGGGATCGATATCGCGGCGCCTGTCGCCCACCCTGTATATATACCACACACGGAAAGTCCTGTAACCATGCATATAGGTATAAGAGATATGTATTTTAATGATATATATTTTCTCTCTCTCTCTCTCTCTCTCTCTCTCTCTCTCTCTCGTCCTTGCATCCGTATTTTTATTGTCTATTTTGCATCCTTTATCATGGTTTTTACTGAATCGCTGTTTAAAAATTTTACGAAGAATATGTATGTACATATAGAAATAAAGAGAGAAAGAGAGAGTTGCTAATCGAATATAAGTCGTTGCAGTTTTACAATCAGCTCCAAAACTATAGTAGCTAATACACAATATACATCGCCTAAAATAATACATATATGTAACAATTTTTTGTAATTTCGACATTTGGTACTCCATTTTTAAATTATCAATCAATGTTTGTTTATCATAAACTATTTTTACATTGACAATAAATTTCTCGGTATGACTGTTTAATTAAAAAGTAAAATTAATAAATAATAAAAAATAGTTTTCTTAGATCAAATTACTATATTTTAATACGACATTTTAAATGTTGAGTTTTGTAATATTGTAGAAAGTATTACGATAAAAAAGTTGATTCCGCAAATTTTCATTTTCTCAAAATAAGGAAATTATAATTTATGTAGCTATTAATTCTACCAATAATACATTCATATTTGAAGTAAGTCAAAACGTATATAAGTATAACGTAGTTAAATATGGGGGGGTGCAATGGAATCTTTGGCTAAATTTAGCCTCTATAGTATAATTACAATAGTAATTGCATTTACATCGAGATCTTCAATGTGGAGCGATAATAACGGTATCGGTAGTGTAATATCGCGAGTTACGCCGCGGTGTAATGGATAAAAGGCTCGGTTACCCGCTCCCTATGGGCGGCAGGGCTCGGCTTGAATCCCAGCCGCCCGTTTCCCGCGCATCGCCAGCATCATATATATATATATATATATATAAGTATATAGTTATGCGCTATTGTTCTCTGGAGACTGGGAACTCACTTAGAGACATGGTTAAACGGCTCCGAAACTGCAAAATGCAATAGTTCACATTGCAGTTCCCGCTTCAATCGTTTAGAATTACGCAATTTGCCCAACCGGCTAGCTCTTTGTGGAAAACTTTCAGCACGCTCGCAGCAGTTTTTTCAATTTTTCAACTGCGACCGTAAATAGTGGTTAAATCGCGCACGTTTCTAAAATGTCTCGACTTGGAGTTCGCGACAAAAGCATCAACGCGTTTCGTGTTTAATGGAATTGTGAATGGTGAATGAAAAGAAAATCGTTAATAGAAGAACAATTTCATTGTCATTCGACTAATTGTGATATTTCTGAAAAAGAGAACAGTAAAGTGTAAAACTACACAATAAACTTATAAGGAATTCTAACATAATAGAGGAAAGCTATAATTCGTAGCGAACTATAATATGTACGTGTATATTCAGAATAATTAGTTATATATAAATAATGTTGTATGGATTATCGCACACACAGGAGCCAAAATCAATTACTGAGGTTGTTTTATTGATCATATTCTAAGAAAAAATAAAATAAAAAATACACACATACACATGTCTTATTTCAAGCGGTTTCCAAGCTGAAGCATTTGAATGTTGGAAAATTACTAATAAGAAATATTATGTTTCTAATTTTATTATAAAGTGCATCAAAGTGTATTACTTAAACAATAAAATTTAAAATAGTATGTAATATTTTTTATTAATAATTTTTCATTATTCACAAATAGCTCCATTTCGGAAATTATTTAGAAAGAGAATAGAACATATATATATATATATATATATATATATATATTTCTTTTCTTAAAAAATGACTGATATTACGACCTCTCAAAATATTGATCTTTCGTGGGACTTTTGAGACATTTTGTACAATAGACGATGATGATTGTCTGATTATTTCTGCGCCGTATTTTAAATTTTAATGTAATATTAATATCATTATAATCGAAACAGTTTTTGGTACAACTGAGACTTGCATCAATTTATTTGTATTTTATTACCGATACTATCGATATAATAAATGTAACAAATTAGCACTAATTGCGAGAGAGAAAAGTATTTTATTATATTAAATGTTTTTAATTTTCCTAATATTGACTAATAATAAATTCATAGGCCAAAAAATTTTTCAATGTAATTGAAATCTACATTTTCGATATCAGGCAGTAGAATTCAATTGAAAACACATGAAACAACCAATAATGACAGTAAATGTTTAGACTTTAAGAGTAACGCTGGATAGGAGTTATTGACCGAGCGGCTTTTGTGTAGTGGTTAAGTTCAATGAAATGCATGCCTATATATGTAAATAAACAACATAAGTGTATCCGATACAATATCTATACATACACAAAAAAATTTAATATCAATGTTGTTGAAATGAAATAATTCTCAGAATAAATAAGGGAACAAATATATTTTAAATTTATTTAACTATCATTAACAACACATATTGCAAAGTGTGTATCGTATATATGTATATATATTTGTAAAAATTACTTCAATATTATGCTAATTATGACGACACATTCATTCTCGTTTTAACTACATACATATAATACATATATCTATATTCTCCTAAAGATATATCTATATGGCTTTTTTTATTTAAGATTAAGAATTTACGGATATATATGTACAATTGTGATATAATACGCATCAAATTAGTTTGAATGTAATATTTTTTTTATAACTTTAACAAAAGAATAACAATTTCTCTATGCGCTTATGTGTAACACATCCTTCTCTGTGAGACGCGCAAGATATTAGAAAGAAAATTTAAAAATTGCTTATTGCTTCGTCTGAAACAAATCCTGTTTAATGTGATATCGATTAGTTCTTCTAATAATCTTCACTAGTGCGATAATTCGTCTAATCTAATAATATTGTTTCAAAGACAAAACCCAACAACTGATTCGAACATGAAAAGCTTAATTAAATAAAGAGAAATTTTTTTTCAGATTTTTGTGCCATCCTTCTGTCAATTCAAGCTCCTAATTTCAATTGTGAAGATGATAACAAATTTTGCTTACCGTTTTAACGAAGAAGTCACGCTATTTGTTCGTAATGTATGATGTCGTTGAATCTTGCTCGATTTCCTGTTTTTTGACTTTCACCAGCTGTGCTGCCGACTCTTTATCAAGATCACTGCCGAAACTGACTCGATGGCGGCGATGGGAACGATAGCCACGACGATGACGACGACGGCGACAACGAAAGCGCGATGATGGTGGCTGCCACGATACGCCTGTCTCGTGAATGCGCAATGCAGACCAGAAACGCCGCGTCGCGACGCGTGAGGGAAGTTGGAGAACCGCCCTCCTTTCACCCTCACACAAATGCTTCGTATGTTCAGCAAGAGCGTCTACTTGTATTATTCTAATATAATATATAATCCAAGTTTTGACAAGTGAAATTATATTAATAATTTTACCTATGCACAAAAAATATAATATTCCTCTTATTTGAAAGATCTTAATTTCAATAACTTTAGCAATGGAACAAGAGAATAGTTTGAAAAATATTTTAAAATTCAAAATAAAAATATTTCGAATAAAATTCAAAATATTTTCAAAAATATTTTAAACATTTGAAAATAATGAAAAAAGAATAAATATCACTGTAATTAGTTATAGTAAAAGATCGACAAAAGTAGAGCAATGCAAATATTGAAGTGAAAATTAATCCTTGGTTAGGTTTTTAGCATTTCTGATACATTTATTTTTGCAGTTTAAATACCATGACTAAAAAATGGATTAAAAAATTTATATAGAATTTATTAGGAATCAAGATCCAGCCGCACGTGATTATATGAAGCTAGGTACTCTCAAATTTATTTGATTTATATGTGTATATAAAAGTGCAATTTTTTATATACAACAAAATATAGTAAGTAAAACGCTATTATTTTTAAAAGAATTATTACTTTCTGACATTCCTAGCAAACGCCGTTCGATCCTTGCTTCCTCCTTTTGCAAGCTTGCTTGCACCCTCTCTGGCAGATATCATGGTCAATTCCCATGAGTCAGTATTTTACTCATTTCCATCTATTTTTCTAAGCTACACTTTCTCTCCCTCTTCTCCTACCTACATTCCTGCTATTACCCCACTTTGCGCGAGACATGGCAGCTGTTCTTCAACAATCGTGATTTCATTTTAATATAAGTATTTTTAGTAAAAATCATTATAAAAATAAACTGCAATGCAAGTAATTAAAGCAATTTGAATAGAACGTCACTAATTAAATTATTACCAGAGAAGACTCTCTCACGCACACGCACGTACACGCACGCACGCACACACACATTTAAATCACTTTAAGACGAGTTTTGACAATTTTTTTACAGGTTAAAATAAATAAAAAAAAACCTACTACTATTGTAGCAGTTCATCAGCGACTCAATAATTATAAAATTATTAACATGTAATTTACGTTACTTTTTAGGGCAAAACTGACCTATCTAGTTTATATACTTTAATTCTTTAATTTTAATAGTCATTGTGATCGTGTATGTCACATGAAACGATTATCAGGACATGCAGATATACATATGCATGACATATTATTCATGTGTGACATATTAGTGAATCCTGCACGGTACATGTATATCCTGAATTTTTAAAAATTATTACAAAACTTCGATTCTCTTCTGTGACATGCGAAACAACGTTAACTTCTCAAGAGCAATTCTTTTTATGCAGAACAACATTGATTTATGGCTAAAAGGGATGTAAAAAAGGCATGGAAGCCAAAAATGAAACTGAAATCGGATCTGAGATGCAGCAAAGGTTACGTTTCGTATATCGTATATTTTTACACAAAAATATTTTTGATGAAATCTAGTGTAAATTCTTGCAAAAGTTGCATTTTAACCTCTTCCATTTGTGATATATAAAATGACTTTTATTATTATTTTGTAATTCATATTTTTTATTGAAAAGGATTGAAAGTTTAGTACATAATAAAATAAGAAGTGGTTTTCCAGGGAGCGCACAGAGTTCAAAAAGAATTTATTCATATATTTAGTCGTATATCATCAATTCTGAGTTTATTCATTTTTAAGTGCAAAAATAATTCTGTTTCAGAATTCATAGAAAAATAATTCTTTTTGCATCTGAACTTAGAATTGATGACATATATAACTGACAATGAGTCCTTTTTTAACTCTCTGTATTATTTGGGTTTGCAAAGACGCTTCATAAATACCATAAAATAGAGGATAGAGTGCATTAGCAAGAGTATAATTTTGCATATTACTATAAAAAGTAATTTGTAAATTTAGAAAATTTAATTAAAATGTGTAAGAACTTAATCTGTGAAATAAAATTTTCTTTGCAGATTTGAAGTTTCTTCACTTAAATTAACGTACATGAAACGTACAAGCATCTTTCTCAAGTTATATTGGCGAATCATTTTTGCTATCTGTTGGGCTATACTTTTGTTACCTTTCATCGTAATATATGATTATTCGGTAAAAAAGAATCCAAACAAATTTTTAATTATTTAAAATATCTTTAAACTTTTGATTATATCAAAAGACATTATTATTCTTTTATAACTTTCAAATAATTTTAATGCTGAATATTTTCAGTGATTTTTATAGCGATGTATTGCTATAATTTATAATTTTGAAATTAATATAATTTTTATAATTATTTCTAATCTTCGAACATTCGATTTTTGCGCACAGAATATTACGTTAATCTCTTTGTTTGAATATTTCCGGAATATTCTTGAATATTTTATTTTTATTATCGGTTATATATTAAATAATTAATTAATTAATTAATGTTATGTTACAAGGAAAATGTTTAAAAAATGCATCCAGAGTGGCAAGTAAAAATGGTAAATGTGATTTTTTTATAGCGCGCGCGCCTGTTGCGTGCGTGCGTGCGTGCGTGCGTGCGTGCGTGCGTGCGTGCGTGCGTGCGTGCGTGCGTGTGTGTGTGTGTGTTGTGCGCGCGCGCTTGTGCATGCGTGCGTGTAGCTCAACAATAATAATTTATAGAACTATAACATTATACATAGATGTTTTGCTTTATATGTGAGTATACTTTTCCGACAAATAAAAATTTGTTAAAAATCGAAATCAGATTTTGCAGCTGAAAATAAACTACAAAGAAAACATAGCGCTTTTACTTGCCATTCTAGGAACAAAAATCGACACTTTCTTACATCTTTCTTTAATATATTTTTATTGTATTAAATCTCTATTGCACAGGAAGTCAGATGTGCCTATATTGTATTGCTAGTAGCCGGATACTGGGTGACAGAAAGTCTACCAATAGGAATCACGTCATTAATACCTGTAGTCTTGTTTCCGTTATTCGGTATTCTTAGTACTCAGGAGACATGCGCTTGCTACATGAATGATACTATCATGGTCTTTATTGGTGGTTTGATACTTGCTATTGCAATTGAGCATTGCAACCTTCATCTACGAATTGCTTTGTTCGTGATGAAGACACTTGGATGCAGCCACGCGAAGCTGCTTGGTGGCCTTTGCACTGTAACCACTTTCATATCTATGTGGATCTCAAATGCAGCAGCCGCCGCAATGATGGTACCCATCGTTTTCGCTGTACTTCGCGAATTGGAGAGGGTCGGTGCACTTGAAAAGTATTATATAAATTATTGTATTTTTATTACACAGATTAAATAGCGTAACAAAAAAACGTAATGACACTATATAACTTTTTATATTTAATAGAATTTTAAGAATACTCTCAATAAAAGAATATTCTAGATCCTACTATATCACAGTTTTGAACAATTTGATAAGTTAAAATAGTAAAGAAGAACAATCTGAACATAATTCACTACAATATAAATACGACATGTATATTGGAAAAATTTTATTTAAAATGTAATTGTTAGAATTTTAATGCTTAAAAATAATTTATTCAATTTTTTGGTTAATTTATCAGATATTTTGCTTAATCCTTGGAAGATAGGGATCTTTCGAAAGACTGTCATTGGTTAATTTATCGGATCTTTTGTTTAGTCTTTGAAAGATGTATTTTTCGAAAGTTAAGTCATTCTTGACCCGCTCTCTATTGGATAATCAAAAGGCCGCGCTCCGTGTATAAATATAGTACATAAAACAACGCAAAAAAGCAGTAACTTTGAGTTTGATTTTTTAAACCCTTTCGACGTAAAGAAAATGTACAAATAATCTTCATGAAAACTAATTGAGAAAACCCATTGCATCTCTATAGTGATCCGTGCAGTTATTATCAGCCAAAGATTAATACACAATTACTCTAATCTATTCAGTATCTTTCGTTACTATAACTACTAACTTATTATTCTTATAATTAGTTAAGAAAAAGAAACTATACGATCCTGCATGCAACTTAATATCGATTAAAGTAATCATACAATATAATCAATTTGTAAATATATTAAAAGTTGTAATTATATTGCTTTCACAGCAAGGACTTGGAAAAGTATTCGATATAAAACAGGATCCAGAGAATCCAGAAGCTGAGCCGTGAGTAACTAAGTACTGCAAATTTGTAACATCTTACATTTTACTCTACACTGAGAGAAAAAAAATGGTTGCTATTACTACAATTTAACTATAATTGAATTTCAATTGTATGATCAGAGTTGGTCTCATCATCTTCGATTAGCTTTATTGATTGATTAATTAAGTATCAACTGTAATCAATTTCGACAGTTTCGTAGCCAATTCAGCTTGCGATTGGTCAATGGAATAATTATATAAGTCGAATAAGTTAATCGAAGATGCGACCGGCTCTATAATTTTCTCGCAGCTGAGCTGCGGTATATACAGATCGCATTTAGTCCTATGATGAAGATCTTATTTTGGATATTAACTTGAAAAATAGTTGTGCAACTATCTAGATCTTTAATAAAATTATTCAAGAGCCACTGCTCATAAGTGCTATTTTGCTGCCTGTATCACAGTCTCTCTTTCTGCGATGCAAGTTGCGCTCTATATACCGTTGGGCGATGCTGGTGCAGATGCCTGTCATTTTTAAGTAGTCATTGTTATATCTTATAATTAGATGTAGCATCCTTTACATTTTAGTAAATTAAGATAAATACATATCTTAGAGTACATAGTCAAAAAGGATTTTTTTCTTAGGGATATAACACCGACAAAATTAACAAAGGCTTATCTATTTGCGGCGGCGTATTCCGCGACTTTTGGCGGCACCGGAGCGCTCGTAGGTACGCCGACGAATCTTGCCTTTAAGGGCATCTACGAATATAATTTCCCTACTGCTGACCCAATTACTTTTGGCGACTGGATGGTTGCCTCGATTCCGCAGATGGCCACAAACTCTCTTATACTGTGGTTGTACCTGCGAATCGCTTTTTTGGGATATTTAAGGCCGCGTAGCAAAGATGCTGAAATGGCGAGAATCGGTGCAGAAGGCGAGGCCATCGCAAATCAAGTATGATACTTTCTGTTTAGAATTTCAGAATCTCCTTTTAATTTTATCTAATGAACTGAATAAACAACAAAGTGTGTATTCACATTTACATCACATTACTAATCATTTTATACACTACGCAGCTATTTACTTCATATTATCTATGTAAAACTAATTAATAAGCACTATCTGTTTATCGGTATATTATAAAATAGCACAATAACATAGTGCTTGTATGATAACTAAGTAGTAAGTATATTGCATAGAGACATATACGTGCCTGGCACGCTTCGCACGCTTGGTTATCGAATTAGTAGTTACAAAACAGCAGAGTCTGCTTGACTTCTATTTTTCTGCCGCCAATCTGACGTCAGATCATTATATTAGCAGGTTCTGCTTAATTTCTAAGAAAAAAAATCTCTGCTGCTTGATTATGTGAATATACACTGTCAACTGCAAAACATAAGTTGATTGCGGACGCATTTGATGCGTCAGTTTTGGCATGTTCTGATCAAATCTGCTGCCAGTCTGCCATGTAACATTCTGTTAATGTTTTGCTTACGAGATTGATAAGAAAATTTATTAATTCTCGTAGGTGATAAGTCAAAATCTTAAAAATCTAGGACCTATGACGTTTCACGAGATCTCCGTTGCAATACTTTTTACGGGATGTATATTTTTATGGGTGTTTAGAGCTCCTGGATTCGTTCGCGGATGGTCGGAAATTCTAACGAATGTGTAAGTACAAAAATTTTAATTTGTAAAACGATTGTTTAATCAGAAATAATTAAATAATATAAATAAGACTAAGACAAATTTTTTTGTTTATACATTTTTTAATCTGAAATTATTTTAATTGACGTTATTTAAAGTAATTTTCTTACAAGCTGCATTAGCAAAAATTGGAATACCTATATTTTTCGTAGTAAACTCCTATTTTATTTTTAACATAATTTTTATATAGAATGTTAGCGGATTCGATGCCCGTAGTCTTTGTATGCCTGCTAATGTTTTTCATCCCAAAAGAGCCGGTCTTTATACGCTTCTTCAGCAAGGACTGTAAGAACTTTTAGCCATGATTACGAAGCCAAGTATGGACTTGCGACTCGAGTAAGTAGCAAGTTACTGACGCTTTCTCGTATAAGACAAGCGAGGAGTGACTTGCTACTTGATTCGTCTTCCTGCTAATTTTATGAGAACCTTATCTTAGTGATCATAAAATTTTATATAATTTTACAGCGTCTAGACGACCGACCAGATCATCCGAGGGTCTGATTACTTGGCAGATCATTCAGACAAAGATGCCGTGGAGATTGGTATTTCTATTAGGCAGCGGTTTCGCTGTTTCAAAAGGCAGCAGTGTCTCAGGACTTGCCATGAAAGTAGGACTAGCTTTGGTACCTCTAAAGGAATTGCCTCCTGTGCTGATGATGGCCGTTGTTCTTTTTCTTGTTAATACTCTGACAGAGTTTACTTCAAACGTCGGTACAGCTAATATAATTCTGCCTGTTGTTGCTCATATGGTAAGAATTATTTATGCAAAGATAAAACTATTAATAAGCAGATTGTTAATGTTAACAATTTTAAGAGAGAGATTAAATTTTCGAAAATTTTATTTAAAAAAAATAGAGATAATATTTTTTGTCACACTATACTAAATTTGAGAGCACCTTCTATACGGTTATGGCTGGATCTTGGTGCCTAATAATAATTCTAATATGAATTTCTATATAAATAATTTTATATAGTTTTAGAAGTTTTAGCATTTTAGAAGAAATTATAGGACCGTAGAAGTAGGCGGTCTCAAATTTAGTTGTGATATTATTCACTTACGTCGCGGTCTAGTTTAAATTGTTCATATGTTCGCATCTGTCTCTTTTCGTTCATATTTAATTGTAACTTTTTTAAACATCCTTCTTTTTTACATCAGAACTTAGTGTTATTTACTATTGATTAACAATAGATTATCAATGGATATTAATAATTAAAAAAAAGACATTTTACAATTATTTTATTATCTATATTATTATATTTAAGTTCTGTTTTTTTTTTCTTATCAAAGTTACGATTATTACATTTTTGTATTTTCTTGTCAAAGTGTGTAGCAATGAAGATACATCCGTTATATCTGATGATGCCAGTGACTCTGATGTGTTCGTATGCATTCAGAATGCCGGTTGCTACGCCGCCAAATGCAATTATAACCGTCGCGGGTCATTTACAAACTCGGGTACTAATAGCAGTTGGATGTTTCCCCGCAATGTACACTTTAATAGTGCAAGTTATCCTATTCCCTACTTGGGGAGCCTTCATTTATGGTATCGGGGAGTTTCCAGCTTGGGCCGAGCAACTTGTTCGAAAATCATAATCTAGTCGTGGTGTTAATATTTTTACTTATTGTCCATGATAGTAACTATAATTGTGAAATATATTCTCATTTATCGTTTTACAAATTATGAAAATAAGATTCATTATTTAATCAATAAAAAGACGAATAACATTAATTCTTATAAATGGATCCTAAATTGTCAATTATTTATCTTTATAAAATTAATTCTAAATACACACACACACACATACACACATACACATATATATGGAGAACATAATTAGCATACGTACTACATAGTTAAATCTAAAGCACCGATAAGTGACGTCGCGCAGGGAGAAAATTATTTGATCGTTTTCATTAGAAAGATTAGTAGCAGATAAGCGTAAGAGCGAGCTGCAGATAACATATATTATATGTGCGAATATAATAACAGTTAGCTCTGAAATAATGTAAAAAATTGGACTTTGTAAATTGCTGATACCTATGGTCGCATTCTACATCAAATTCTTGCAGTCGAATACCATATTGTTCGGATTGAAAAATAGGTAAACTCATTTAATTAACAATCAGTTTGATTAAGTCCGCGTTCCATCAATATATTAAAATATGTTTCCTAATTATATAATGTTTATAATATACGTTACGTATTATAAATCTTTTGATTTTTATTGTTTTATTTTTTTATTTACATTAACGTCACATTTTCAAAACCATTACAAAATGCTTAATTGAAAAAAAAAAATTGTAAGTAGAGCATTGATAAAGATTGGTTTATTTATCAAGTCTGTTTACTCATGTTATTTGTTAGAAAAAAGAATTATATCAGCAACTAAAAGATTAACAACAAATGGCACTTTTAATTATGTATTATAAAATTCCAAAAAAATTAATAAACGCTTACAGAAGTATTAAAATCATTTGAACAATCATATATTGAATCATCTACCGTAATGTTTTATTACATTGTATTAGCTATTATTTGCATAATACACATATATAAAAATCTATTTGAAATATTCTATAACATTAGTTATAATATTAATCAATCGTAGGTTATTAATAAAACTAATCATTCGAAAATCGTGTAAAAAGGATATGAATCGATACGATTCGAGATTCGAGATTACGTTACGTTGTCTGCGATTCCTGCGATAATCATAATCAATAAAATTGAAGTATTAATAAATAATGTTGATACATCTTGAAGACGTATTTTATATATAAAGTATATATAAATCTTAAACGTATAACATGATCGAAGAAAAAACAGGAATTAAAGATGAAGGAAGGTTGGCACTTAATTTAATATTTAATTCGAATTTTTTATATAATTATAAGTGAGGTATAAGTAACTTTATGTTGTGATAAAATTGTATAATAAGACCATATATACAGTATAACAAAATAATTTTTTGAAACTTAAAAGAAAGAATATAATCCTTTCCTATAGTTTTTGTATAGCTAAACGCAATTTTTACTTCCACTAAAATGCTATATAATAATTTGAAAAATTTGAGGTTAAATTTGTAAAAAATAATAAATTATTTTAATTTATTTTACTGTACCACAATTGCAACATATACTTAACGTATTAAAAATATTATTTTCTTGAAAGAAATTTATTTTTAAGATTAATTAAGGTTTTAATAAAATGTTTATGATGAATGGTTAAATATTTTTATATTTAATTTTATATATAATTTTTATATATAATTTTTATATTTTTATATTTTAAAATAGTTTTATATTTAAAAAATTGTGAATTAAACTATTGATGATGACTTTTATAACAAATGTTTTAATTGTATATTAAAACTTAAAATTTGTTTACATCAATGAACATAAAATTATATAATATCAAAATTGAAAGGAACTTACTGCAACATGGTGGGCATTGACATTTTGTAACAACAAAGAAAATAACATGATAAACTTTAGAGATTTTCTCTGTTTTCATAAAATGTTGGCAAATATGTAGATTAATTCACTGTTGCAGCACAAATTCTTTAATTAACACATTTCAAAATGCATAATCGATATGGAAAATAACAAAAAGCAAAAACTTTTTAATTCAATTTTGTTATTGTCAGTTTTTGTATGTTTAAAGAATTCAAATTTATCTCATATACATATATAATGGAGGAACTTAAAAAATTTTGCGATTAGGATTGAAAGAAGAGAAGAAGAACCCGTCAATCTGAGGAATCTAATCAGCTGCTTAAGACATACGAGACGCTTTCTCAAGATCTATTGGAAGATTACTTTTGCACTTCTCTGGGCGCTTTTTCTTTTACCTTTTCTTGTGATTTATGATTGTTCGGTATTTTCTTCTTATTTTTTAATAATGTATTATAATTCTTTAATTTTTAATTTAAATTTTCTAGATTTTATAGATTTTATCTCTAATGATTTTAAGGATTGTTCTTATTTAAAAATTATTTTAAGCAATGTCTTGAGATATTAATACAGTTCTGTGTTTGGTTTATATTATAACATTTTATAATAAGATTATGCTTAAGAGACGATTTAAAATATATACATTTAAATATAACAGTCTGTAAATACCGGTTTCAAGGGGATTTAAATTAATATATCTCTTTTAATTTACTATTCCTTTATAAAAGTCTAAGAGTCCACAGTCCTTGTTGAAAAAGAAAGAAAATGAAACAATTTAAACATTTAAGTTTAATAAATTTTTTCACTTAATTTAATAACTTTTGCAGGAAGTTAGGTGTGCATATGTAGTATTACTAATGGGTGGTTATTGGATGACCGATTGCTTTCCTATGGCAGTGACAGCACTTATCCCGGTTGTCATGTTTCCGGCTTTGGGTATACTCAGTACAGCGGATACATGCACCTGTTACATGAACGATACAATAATGGTATTCATCGGCGGTCTGATTCTCGCTATCGCTATTGAGCATAGCAATCTCCACCTTAGGATTGCTCTTGGAGTCATGAAAACAGTTGGCTGCAGCCACGCGAGATTGCTCGGTGGTTTATGCGTGGTCACGACCTTTATATCTATGTGGGTGACAAATACCGCGGCCACCGCTATGATGGTGCCCATAGTATTTGCTGTTTTACGCGAGTTGGAACAAGTATATAAATTATTTTTTAATTTAATATTTGATAGTAAAAAATATATATAAAGTTGTATATACATTGTATATATATACACACACACGTACACACACACACGCGCGCGCGCACGTGCTCATGTATGATTTATAGATGGAAGGTCTATAGAGTAAACAATATATATGTGATACATGAATTTATATTTGTAATTTTAAACATACGGCTGGATTCTATAGGCTGGATTGGGTGCAATGTTCAAAACAGAAGAAATTGATGTAGAAAGATCAGACGTAACACCGTAAGCAAAAGAATTCTTTTCGAACAAATAAAACACTTTGAAAATAATATAATTATAGATAATTATTAAAAATATTACACAAAAGTATTTTGTTATACAAAAAATAGCAGAGCAATTTTTAAATTATATATCTTCTCAAGATATTTATTTATATATTTTATAATTATTCCTTATATTTTATAATATTTCCTTATTTAGTGAGATAAGACCAACGAAAATAACAAAGGCATATCTATTGGCGGCGGCTTACTGCTCGACGTTCGGTGGTACGGGAACTCTGGTGGGAACTGGCACAAATCTAACTTTTAAAGGAATCTACGAGAGTACATTTCCCGAGGCTGAAGGAATTAGTTTTACTGATTGGATGATAGCATCTTTTCCTCAGATGGTTGTTAATTCCTTCCTTACTTGGTTGTACGTACGAATTGCTTTTATGGGATATCTAAGACCGCGAAGTAAGGATGCTCAAGTGGCCACAATCGGGAGAGAAGGTGAAACTGTCACAAATCAAGTAAGAACCTTTAAGACAAAACTATTTGTATAAATATAAAAAAAATAAAAATTTGATTTTTAATTTTTCTGAGAGACCAAGTTATATATAAAGTCATATTTTTAATATCTATATATATATATATATATATATATATATATATATATATATATGAAACATTATATAATTTTTCAAATATATCTGAAATTTTATATACTATAGTACATAACAGGCGCGCGATTTGCGCGCGCTGCGTATTGAATCTCATACATCTTCCAATAACATTTATACCAATTTACATTTTAATTAAACAAATGTTAACAATTTTTGTTGATAAGAAATAAATTTAAAAAAAAATGACGCTTTGCGCGCGGTGCGTATTAAACTTCATACATCGTCCAATAACATTTATACCAAATTACATTTTAATTAAACAAATTTTAACAATTTTTAATAAAATGACGTTTTAATTAATCGGCGTGAATTTATTTGTAAATAAATTCACGATTTCTTCAAAAACAGCCACATAATTCATTTTTAAGATGAGCACAGAAAGAAGTCTATATCTTTATTTTTCTGGAAGATATGGATTTTTAAACATTGGGGAAAAGAGGCTTCAACGCAGGTAACACGGCAATTTTAAGATAGGATAACTTCGTCTCTCAGAAAAATTAAAAATCAAATTTTTACTTTTACTTTTTTATCAAATTTTTATCCAATTTTTATTTTTACTTTTTTTTTACACAGCTCTTATACGTATAATTTAATTTTGAACGAGAGAGAAATTGATGAGTTCCTTAATTCTTTCTCTATTGCACGGCTAGGATAAACGTAATTGCTTGCTGTTAATTGTTACAATTTTTTGATATACATTACCTATACAATTTTCGACATACCAAAAGTTATTTAATTATAAATCTGTCAGCTTATCGCGCGCACGCCACGGTCAGCTGCTAATTTTTGGTTTCTGCTACCAATCTATATCTACTGACATGGCATGTCAGCAGCAAATTTAAGTTAATATTAAATTCTTCTATTCACAAATAATTAATAATTCTTTCAGGTTATACAAGAAAGATACAAAAATTTGGGTCCTTTAACTTTTCACGAGATTGGAGTAGCTACCTTATTCTTTTTATGTGTGTTTCTTTGGATATTTCGCAAACCTGGCTTTATCCGTGGATGGTCAGAAGTAATTACTGATATGTTAGTATTTTAATATCATATAAAATATATTATTATACAAAAATCGATAGATGTAATTATTGATCTAAGAAATAATAAATATGCAGAGATATTAAAGATTCAGTGCCAGTGATACTCGTTTCCATCCTGATGTTTTTCATCCCGAAGGATCCTGGCTTTATTTACAGTTATAGTCAAGATCGTAAGAAATCACATTCTATTGAGCCTCAAAACGCTGATAATAATAATTATAAAAATATTAGATTTTAATTACTAAAACATCACAAAATTTTTAATTTTAATGGAATACACTTAAATACAAAAAGATAAAATTTAAGTAAACGTTAAAAATTATTAAAATTATATATTTTTATTTTGTTTATCTTAAAGTATGGAATTTACATAAATTTCTTTTAAGACTTTGTTTGCACTTGTATCTATAATCTAATTATGTTCAAAATTATACAAAATTCGCAGCCACTAAAAGGCCGAAGAAATCCTCAGAAGGTTTGATTACATGGAAGGTAATTGAGACCAAAATGCCATGGAGTTTGATGTTCCTATTGGGTGGCGGTTTCGCGATTTCGAAAGGAAGTGTTGCATCCTGTATGGCAAAACGAATCGGTCAAGCTTTAGTACCACTTCGTTATTTACCACCCATTGTAATTCTTGCCGTAGTGTGTCTTTTTGAAGGCATTTTAACGGAGTTTACTTCAAATGTGGGCGTCGCGAATATTACTCTACCAGTAATAGCGCAGATGGTAAATTGACATATCGGCAGTAAGATCATAAGCAATCTGAATTAATACATAACTTATAAAAATGTTATAAGTTATGCAGTTAATAACATGTCATGTATATAATTGGAAGGAAGAGTTGAGACTCGTATTTTTCCATTGTCTACAATAAAATTAATTAATTATTTGTTTTTATTTCGACAATCTTGCTGAATTTTTATTCCGAAATCTACATAAGTCTATTCTATGAGTTTACTGTACATACATTCAATTATTGGTCAGTTTGAAGCGATCAGACGTACGTATGATGTGCTATCTCCTCTCTTAAACTACAGCTATAGCGATCTGATTTTGTTTCATGTTTTTGTATATATATATACCTATATAATATAAAAGTAAATTATTATTTATTTATTTTTCAGTGCGTGGCGATGGAAATACATCCTATGTACTTGATGATACCAGCCACTCTGATGTGTTCATTTTCATTCCGTTTGCCGGTTGGAACACCACCAAACGCGATTATAACAATTGCAGGACATATTCCGACGAGCTGGTTAATTGTTGGAGGCTGTGCACCCGCAATTTACAGTTTAATAGTGGAAGTCATTTTTTTCCCAACATGGGGTGTTTTCGTTTACGGAATTAAAGATTTTCCTGCATGGGCCAGTATCCAAATGAATAACAACACAGATGTTCTCTGTTAATTAGTTGAAGATAATAATTTGTTAAGAAGCAGATTAAATTTTTTCAGTTTTCCTTAAATTCTCTTTCCACAAAATGTAATAATACAGAAAAATTATTTATATGAATATATACAGAATATTGTATAATGTAATCGCAAGTTCATTTTTTGAAAGAAAAAAAAAACAATACATAAGTTATTTTTCTAAATGTTTTACAATTATTCTTCTTATTATTTTTATTATACATATATGAACAAAGATTATATACAAAAGAAAATATTCCTAATTTGCATATGATTAGATACTTATATCTTATATTTGTTATTTAGTATGTAATAATAATTGAGTAGTTTTTTTTAAATTATAATTATAAATATTCTTTACGCGTATAATCTTCTCTATAAACATGCATGCAATTCATTATTTCAATTAGAATTCTATAATGGTAAAGTTCACATAAATTGAAATAAAGAATTGACGAATTTTTTCTCCATGTTCATATATTCAAATTTTAATTCTTAGAAACTTTTAAATTAAAATTCTAATTTAATAATTTTAGAGTGCTCTATATATACTCTTTATCAACAAAGTGAGTTAACACACACACGCACGCACGCACGCACGCACGCACGCACGCACGCACACATATGTATATATAAAAATTGCAGAAATTTCTTTTATCTTTATATTATATTATATTCTTATAGTGTTAGCAGAAATATAAATATCTTGATAAATATTTATTCAGAAATATATCATCAATTCATAACAATTATTGCAGTGGAAATGTTGTATGGAAATGTAACATAAAAATATCGATATCCATGTGTTATATTCATCATACATTCACATTTTATAAAGAAGGACTAAGGATATCATCAAATATAAGTTTAATATCTTAGTTTTTAAAAGAATTTCTAATAAAAATATTAGAAATTATTATTATTACATAGAGCAGTGCAGCATATAAAGTTGATTTATATGATATCTTTATGTTCGTATTATAATTTTATGCATTCTACAATTTTGTTATTTCAATACGGAAATGTGTGCGCGCGCGCGTACACACACACATATACAAATTAAAATAAAAAATTATGGAATATACAAAAAAATATATATATATATTTATTTATACATACGAGTATAAATAGAAATAAATGTCATTTTTAAGTAGGAGATGGCTTTAACATAGGAGATTCACTCTTTTTTGGACTTGAATTTATTTCTTGTTGTTCCAATCTACGATGTCTTAACATTGTAGATATTACTCCATTAAAGCTGGCAATCTTTTTCTTGGCACTACCTTTTGGAGTACTTTCGCCAATTCTCCGAACAGGTAACCTTGGTGACGACATTTCATCCATGAAATCAAAGTCAGACTTCTCCTCAGTTCTGCATTGATAAAATTATCAATATAAAAATTAATAAATTTTAAAGTAATTAAAAGTTATTACTTAAAATTTACTTGTATTCTGGAGACTCAAGCTCCTGCTGTAGATTGTTTGAAGGAACAGGGGAAGGCCCTCGTCTGCCAGGACACTTCCATTCAAGTTCCAAAATGCAATTGTTTACTTCCAATCCTTCAATTAATGAGACTATGTCTTCAGCCTTTATATTCCACTTATGCTAAGCAAATAGAGAAATATTTGTTAAAAGATATTTGTTAAAAATTAACTGGTAAAAATATAAGCTTATACATTTTTCAGTAACTTGTAAAAATATAATCGCTCAGATATATATACTGTATAATAAAAAATCTTACAAAATTACAGACAAGATTATACAGATAACGAGAATTGACATATTAAATAAATTTAATTATTTTACCTTTTCATCCACCTCATATTTCTCATCATCAGAACACTCCACGGACCAGTCTTCTTCACTGCATTCCATTGCTTTTTTTTTAAATTAAAAATAATGAATTTTTCAAAAAAATGTTGAGACACTCTCACCGTGAGGTTATGTTTCAATCGTGACTATCGTGGGACTGTCAGAACACTCAGGTCAGATCTCAGAACCCCCCCCCCCCCC